CATTTTCAAGATTTCTTTCTTTTTACTGCAATGCCAAAATGCCACTGATTCCCTTTGTACAAAATTATAAACAATGCAATATTTGTATTATTACTCATGTTTTCTAATAGAAAAAATACCGTATATTATTTTGTACTAGAAAAAAGGGATTCCTCCTCCAGTTGGTGTATTCGTTACTACTTCTATTGTGTTGTGGAGGTGCCTTATTGTGTTATCACAATATTTTTCAAACTTGACAACTTTAAGGTGTGTGAATTTCAACTCCCAATAATCCCCAGCCAGCATGCCAGGCATTTGTGCTGGCTAGAGAATTCTGAGAGTTGAAATCCACACATCTTAAAGTTGCAGAATTTGGAAAATACTGAACTGGGATTTGTGCTGAACTCATTTCCTGAAATGCTTGAAAAACTAAACTGTGTGTTTTGAAAAGGATATTGAGGTCTCCAGCAGATGGTTTCAAGGATAGCTTGATATTGTCTTCTTGACAGCAATATGGAAGTGGTTTGCTCTTGCCTTATATTTTTTTACTTCCCACTTTAGTCTTTAGCCCAGACATTTCCTGGTGGTGTTTGTGTATGAATGTGTGTGCATATACATACACACTCATATGACATCATCTTATTATATTATTTATTTAATCCAATTTTGGAACCGCCCATTTCCCTCACAGAGGAACTGTGGGTGGTATGCAAATAAAATATTAAAACATAAAATGTTAAATAAAATTTAAAAAGAGGCAAGGGTGATTGAAATCCAATGTTAAAAATTAATTAAAAGGCAGAGGGAAGGCTTTTGGGGGTGCTAACCAGCCCCACTACTGTGTACTCCTCTATGCATCCCAAGCAAGGCCACAGGGCCATTTTTTCACCTGTTTGTTTACATTTCAATATATTTTATAGTTCTAAAGCTTCGCATTGGGGCCATCTCTCACTTTGGGACTGGTTTTCTTGTTTGTGTTTTATTTCTTCCACCAACTCTCTCTCCATCCAATCTTTGGGCAAGAACTGAGCAAACAGATGAGAGAGTCTGCCTGTAAAAATTCACGGTAGAAACTTAAAAAGCAAGAATTTTGGGAATAGTTCATGGGGCATTCAAAATAGAGGGGAGTAAAGAGGCTGGTTGATATGGCCACACTCAATACCCAATTACCCACATTATGGCTTAGCACAATGTGCAAACCGCTCACACTCTATTCAGAAGACGGCTCTGATCCCCACACCTTCCTGTTCCTGATCGGCTCCAGCAAGCCTCCAAATATCTAGACAAGAAATTGTGCCTCAAACACAATCTATAATTTGGATTCATTTTTTCCATATCTGAATGGTTGTGCCATGAATACCTAAGTGCTACCCTTAGCACATTCATTTGCCCCCCTCCAAAACAGAGAGAGAGAGAGAGAGAGAGAGAGAGAGACTGCAAAAGTTGCTCCATCACTGGAGGTTTTTAAGAAGAGATTAGTGACATCAGTCAGCATTTGTCTGAAATGGTATAGGGGAGGGGTCTCCAACTTTGGCAACTTTAAGACTTGTGGACTTCAACTCCCAGAATTCCTCACCCAGCAAAGATGGCTGAGGAATTCTAAGAGTTGAAGTCCACAAGTTTTAAAGTTGCCAAGGCTGGAGACTCCTGGTATAGGGTCTCCTGCTTGGGATTGGACTAGAAGACCCCCCCCCCCCCAAGGGCCCTTCCAACTCTGTTATTCTATAAATTCTGTAAGACCACCCAAGGCAGGAACCCAACTCCAGAAAAGTCCTCCATGTGCTGTGGAAACTAGTGACTGTATTCCCAGGTGGCAAAAGTACAACTGACAGGGTGTACTAAGGATTTTGAGGTGACTCAGACAGAGGCTTTACCTGATTGTACCGAAAGACCCTGAGGCAATAAGAGTTATTTCATTCAGAACAGGGCTGCAAACGCTACAGCCTTCATTTCCCTAATGACAAGATGCCTGAGAAAAGATTAGCAGAGTTCTTTTTCTCCAAAATAAAGAACTTCTCTGTACTCAAGGATACCCTGGCAATATCTCTGGTTGGTGTTAAGTGCCTTCTGTTGTCTCCTCTAAGACAGGATGTCTCCCTTCCCTCCATTACACTCTCCTGCTAATTGTGCATTTTGCCTTGATTTATTTTTATCACCTATCTCCTCTGCTTCCTGCATTTTCAGTTAGCTCTCCACAGTTTTCACAAACGGTTACAGGAGAGTGAATTGTTCTCAGTTCTTTTCTACAAATTTATTCAAAGAAGTTTGTTTGTTGGAGGCAGGGAGCTGTAGGGAGTTTTTGAAGGTTTATTTTTAATTTTCATCCTGTGCCCCCGTGCCTGTCAATTTTTTTCTCTGAATACTTGAAATTTTTGATGTGATATCCTTTGGAGCTGCAGAGATCAGAGGACCTGACATATTTAGTTTAGAGGTAATAATGAAAATTTTATTATCCTCAAGTAGCAGAAATCACCATCTAGGAGAGGACAGAGTATTTAATCTTAGCTATCCCATACAACAGGGTTGGATTAAACAGTAGGAGAAATGTGTTGATAAAAGGTGGTGGGTTCTCCCTGATTATTTCTTCAGTTATCAATCAGTGTCCATTAGATCAGGGGTGGGCAACTGTGGCCCTTTTACAACCTGTGGACTTCAACTCCCAGAATTCCTGAGATAGCCAAGCTACATTAGATAATGTGTAAACCATTCGCACTCTGAATTTTGTGAATTGAATTGGATCAGCTGTATTTTAAAGCCAGACCAATCTCATTATTAAGTCAGGATATCAATATTTATATTTTTCCTTGTATTAGGTTAACAAGGAACTATGGAAATATTTGAAAAATTAGGAGGTAAAGTTTATTTTTAAATGGTTTTTTATACTTGGCATTTAGCAGACTACATTTTTAAATGTATATTTTTTAGACTAACGGCTTGCAAGACTATTTGGGTATATTGTTTGGTTACTTATGTGAGTTAATAGTTCAGCTGTGTTTATGAAAGAAATGGCATACAAGAAAGTTGTCTTATTTATGAGGAAAATATTCTTTCTCAGTTTGAACTACAATTCTTGAGCTGATTTATGAGGATATACTGCACAACAGACAAATAGCCAGGCCTGTCTGGGCCTCCTCACCACTGTATAGAGTATAAAGCTTCACCTTCTACGAAGGAAAATTTGGACAAATAAATTGTCTTTCAAACAAATACTGCCTGCCACCATTGATATTCATGTTCAGCAACCTTTGATAGCCCTTCAAGGAATTTGTGCATTTACTATGAACATAATATGAAACCTTGTGCTCCAATCCTCTCCTTATGCCTTTAAAGCCATTTAGAAATCAAGGGGAAAAAAAGGAGAGAAGAGGATGAAGCAGAGGGGGAGGAAAGAAAGAAAGAAAGAGAAAGAAAGAGAGAGAGAGAGAGAGAGAAAGAAAGAAAGAGAAAGAAAGAAAGAAAGAAAGACAAAAGAAAGACGTAATTGCCAGTTATACATGTCTCTGTTTTGCTTTTCCTAGTCAACTTGCCCTCCAGGTTTTATCAGTTCAGATCCAATTGCTTTGGCCCACAAATGCAAGGATAGATACATGCTGCTTTGAAGAGTTGCTAGAAGCAATAAGAGAAAAAAGGAAGCCCATGCCAGTTTCAGCCCTAAGGGACTGTAGGCTTAATGACAGGTTGTTCTTATGGAAGGTGTTAGGAGCTGCCGGACCCCCACTGCTTCAGCAATCTTGAGAACAAGGTGTACGTTGCAATGGAGAAGCTAGAGGGAGGTAGGAATTTTTATTCTCAAATGCCCACATTGGAGTAATGTCCCGCTTTCAAATATCTTAAGTCACAGAGCTTAGGACCATTAGTGGACTAATCCTGACCTGTTATAGCTAAGATGAACAAAACATGAAGGTAGGTAAAAGAAGAACTTCTAGGCCTGCTGGGTGGAGCAGTTTTTAAAAAACTTTGTCAGAGTTCATTGCAATTATGCAATGATGTTTGTGGCAAATACTAATAAGGTTTCGCTGTTAACAGTAAACAACTCTGGATATGCAGCATAGACATCAGCTCCCAGAACATTTCTGAGCTGGCAAAAAGCAGAAAGGATAGCTGAACATGTAGACTTCTCGCTTTTCAGTTGTTTGCTTTTTAAAAAGGTACTTTCCTGTACTGTAAATAGAGACACAAGGACATCATGTTTAACTGTGTATGCGTTTATTTGCGTTAGCTAAACATAGCGTACAGATACTAAAGAGCCATTTATCAATTAGGATGACTGCAGCTCAGACCTGGTTCTGTATTTTGATACTTAAAGCCCTCCTAACCAACCTGAGGCGCTATATTAATAATAATATTAGCTAGGAAGCAGCTGCATTAATCCTTGTCTTCTGTGTTTAAATATTTGGCTAGCTTAACATGTTCCTTTGTTTGATTGCCACCTTTCTATCTGACTGGATGTTAACAACACTGCCCTATATGTAGAAGAGTAGCCAAATTTGAAATTGCCTGACTTTTCTAGTGCTTTCTCAGGGGCCATGCTGGCTGGAGTTGATAGAAACTATCATTTTAAAACATCAGATTATGAAACGGTGATCCAGAGTTTCATAATATCTCTAGAACCTACTTAGATCATAGGCGCAATGGCATCCACTCTCGGTTATTGGTTCAGCACATCAACATAGATGGGAGTGTGGAACATAGATACTTCAGGACCTGGAAAAACTGGCTCATGTTTGCTTTGAGATGGAATATATACTTTTCCTGCAATCGTTTGTTGAGATGTAGGTGGCCAGACAGAGGCAATACTTCAATGCAGGTTTAAATTATTAGTATAGAGTTGGGCGTGTTTTAGTAATAAATCTTCTACAGCATTTGCTCAATATTTTCAAATATTCTATTCCAGCATTTGGGATAATATCTGTGCAGCTTCCCACCTTCAAAGCCCCCTCTGGAGAATAGACCAAGACTGATGCTAGTGAAGCTGAATGGCATACAACAATTACTTAGTGATTTTCTCTTTCTCTTCACAGTTCAAGTCTTGGTTGATGGTGCACCCGTTCGTATCCAGTTGTGGGACACTGCAGGACAGGTGGGGCCTATAAAAGTAAAGAATATTTGCAGCTCTGGTTCAAATGCCATGCTAAGGATGATATCAGAAAACAAATTAACAATAATTCAGTAAAAAAAAATGACATTCAGTAGCAATCTACAGCATAGTTCTGGCATACTTTACATTAAAATAATATTTCAGTATTGGAGAAGAGACACACTGTTTCCTTCTGGTGAGTTCTTATTTGAAATAACCTTTGAATTGGGAATTCCTGGCATTGCATAATATGCTAAATATGTTATGGATGCCACCTTACATTCCTGGAAGAGAACTGGGTTATAAATCTAACCAACAAACGGATATAATTTTCTTGTTTGTGTGATTTATGGCTTGCTAACTAAAATTTATATTTTTGCAGCAAAAATTCCTTTTATGAAATATGTCTGGAGGTCCATGACTTTTTAAGGGAAGCATGAGCTCTGAAATATTAATTGGGACAAGAGTTTTGGATTTGATTGTTTACATGATTGAAAAGCCATTTTAATAGGCATTAAAAGTCCCTCACTTCTTCAATGGTCTAATTAGCAAATTAACCCATTTTTGAAAACATTTATTAACTAAGCCACAGTGGCTGCATTTACACATAATACTAGCCATTAACTGGGAGACCTTAATATTTTGGGAGCAATGGGCACATCTGGGATTTTGAGAATGTTCTGAATATGCTCAGAGAATGGCTACCAGAGGGGATATTTCTGATTACAAACATCCACTTTGTAGGAGGCAAAACAGTGAAGTTATTCTCTTGCCATATTCCCTCCAGGGTATTTCCTAATATCTCAGTTTTATCTTGCTTTTTTATTGGCACATTCCAAATAGAGCGGTTTTATTTTCTAAGAATGGGCTCTGAAGTTTATGAACACCCCAGCTTAGAAACATTTTGGGAATTTTAAAAAAGGTGAATTATTGGAAAAGAACGTACATATGAGACTGAAGATCGTTGGCTTCCTGGGTATTTATTTATTTCAATGATCAAAGTCTCAAAATATAAAATCTGGAGAACAAAAGAAACATCCACAAGGACATTGATGTCCTAGCTCAGTCAGGGACTCTGGCCATAAACTGTAATGGTTGGGTTTACCCAACATGCTGAGGCAAAATTTGTTTTGTTTAGTTTTAGCTTAGTATGATGTGTGAACTGAACCATTAATTTTATACTTGGTAGCTATTAATTGACTTAATTTTCTTCTTAAAAGCACTTGGGAAAATTCAAATGATTTCTAACCTTTGGATGATTTTGCTGGTTGAAAGTTGGAAAAGTTTGGCTTTAGAGCTTTGTAGAAAAGACGAGATTGCAATGCCTACTAAATGTAATTAGTACAGTAAATATCTGTCACAAATTGATCTCCATGTTTCTTTTCTCTATATAGGAAGACTTTGATTGCCTCCGCTCTCTTTGTTACTCTGACACAGATGTCTTCCTGGTCTGCTTCAGTGTTGTAAATCCCACCTCCTTCCAAAACATTACAGAAAAATGGATTCCAGAAATAAGAACTCACAATCCCCAAACACCAGTGGTGCTAGTAGGGACACAAGCTGACCTGAGAGATGATGTCAAAGTATTAATCAGCCTGAATCACTACCATGTAAAACCTGTGCCGAGAACACAAGCAGAAGGCCTGGCTGAAAAAATCCGGGCTCAGACTTATGTAGAGTGCTCTGCTTTGACTCAAAAGAACCTGAAGGAGGTTTTTGACACAGCCATTGTTAGTGCAGTTGAATACAAAGCCCAACAGGAAAAGAAAATGACAGCTAAAGGAATCAAAACTCTCTCTAAGTGCCGATGGAAGAAATTCTTCTGCTTTGTCTGACACTGACTCCAGTAAGAAACATTTGTAAGCCAAAGTAGTCTGGAGCTCAAGCTCTTGTTGGATTATGGCGAAACTTGCCTGGGAATGAAGAAGGAGAAGTGTAGCATCAAATGGTCCACGCTACATTCAAACATCTGGGACGGGATGGTCTGCTGATCATCTGATCTGCTGATGTACTGAGTCCAGCAGCCAAGTTAATTTATATATACATATATTTCAGGCAAGATGACCAGTTTTTACAGCTTTTGAAGGCTTAACAGCATATTAATTGAACAAATTAATTAAATCTGGGAGTAGCAACCCCAACCTGCCTACAGGGCACGAGAGCAGGAAAGGTTGAATGAAACTTGATTTAATAAATTTGAGAGTTATATCTCATTTTCAAGTCATAATAATGAATAGAGGAGTGATGCAGAGAATTAATGCAGAACCAAATTTTCACTTCAACCCTCTTAAAAGTAAAAGAAAGTAAAATAACTGAGATATAATTGAGGATTAATCCATGTTTGGGGTGAATAGTGGCTATGTCACATCCTTAAAACAACACAATATTTCCCAATGAAATTATGTGGGAAAATGCCTATGGCTCAAAAAAAAAAAAAAAAACCCAGTATGATATAGTGCTATTCTAAGAATATTTGGATTCATATGTGAAAAGCATATCACAAACTGAAATATTGCAGAAAATATGTGGTTACATATGTGTGTATGTTTGAGTGTGAAATGCTTTCTGAACATTTTCTACAGGAATTTAGTCTGGCCATCCACTGAAAAGATTGATGCGTGATTTGCTTTGATGTAAACTTTCTGTGTGAACAAACTTTCTGATTCCTTTTTAAAGTCATCCTTAGAAAGTAAGAATTTAGCATAATCAAAGTTTAACACGTTCAAACTAAATTCAAGATTAAAAGTCCAGCAGCTCTGAGTATACATTCTTTTTCCTCCCTAAATTATGCCCTGTTCACATATTCTTAGACTTTCCATATTAGGCAAACTGATACTGTATTGTCTATTTTAATAAGGTGCCATCCAGTACCATGCCAATAATACTATTTAGGTGGAAGGAAATTAGCAATTCTTGTTATACATTTATATCAGGGATTGGGCACTAAATCACATTTCTTTGTATTTCACTGCTAATACTGAAGGCTTAATGTTCCCTCCCTGAAACCTGTAGCAGAATAATCAGGTTTGCCAAGTTAGCAATTAATATTTATGTTGTGTAACTATTACAGCTAGATGAAGTTTACATCTGAGATGGAAAGATAACCACACACAAAAAGACTGAATTAAAAGCATAATCTCAAAGGGAACATATGACACAGTATTTTACAAAATTATAAAGCAACTTCCCCAGCCTGATATTCTCTGCTCTAGGTACATTGGGATACAATGCCCATAAATCTATAGCCCAACTATAATGAATGTGTATAATGGGAGAATAGTCCAGCACATCTGAAGAGCATTAATTAAGAAAAACTGTTCCCCGGACATTGATAATGTTGACTCCAAAGTTCCAGAGAGCTCCAATTCATATTCCATTTTTGGCACATGTGCAGCACAGTCACTGAAGAGGAGAGGAGTATCTACTTTAATGGTCCAAAAAGGAAAGAGAAGATTGCCACCTTTGATGGCATTCAGGTCTGGAAATGTTTGCCATTTAAAATGATTCAAGACAAATTTTGCTTGAAAGGTTTGAGGAAAATAGAGATAAAATATGAGAGGAAAGCAGAAAATAAAAAAGGGAAGAAGCATGTGATAGAAGAGGGAGAAGTAAGTGATAGCAAGGAGAGACAGAGAGAGAGAGATTGAGAGGGAGAAGGTGAAAGGTGGAAGGCAGGCAAAGAGAGAAAAGGAAAACTATATAGGTAACATTGACAAGGTTAGTCCATCATGGATATTAGAGTTGAAATAGGCTTGTTGATCGTACATGTTCTCTACAAATTATTTCCATAACTTGGAATAACATCTGAAGTTGTTTACACATTGGATTCTTTCCTAGGTAACCTATAATGCATATAGAAGTTGAATCATATTTTAGATCCTCTCCAGGTATGAAGACAAATATCAGTCATATTTCAAATCACATCCAAACCAGATACGAATGATCAAATGTGATCATCATCTCTATATCCTTTTTTTTTTTTTTGCCACAGGTATGTACACTGGGAAGCTGAGCCATGACTACTCACCTTTGTGGTCTGCACAGAAATGTATCAATGTCCTGGAAATGTGTCATTGCGGAAACAGCCATTGAGCATTGCTCATTCCATGTTGTATACTTCAGTTCTGCTGTATAAAAAGAAAGTGTTTACAAATGAGTCTTTATGCATTTCCAATGGGCATCACAAAAGAGCCCTGGAACAGCCTTAGCTGAGGATCAAACCTCAAAAGTAGTGCCAATTTAGCAGGAATTCATAAATACTGTCTTATCCCCCCCCCTTTATTCAAAATTCATTAGAGATATTTGGTTGTTGTTGATTCATATTGATGGTACCCAACAATATTCTTTTACAGGAAAGAAAGAATGCTTAATCCATGCTGTTATTGCCTTAGAGAATGCAGATCATTCTTTTTTCTGTGTCAAATATTTTCTATTTCAACATAATTATTTTTTGCATTGTATTATTTTCTCTGTTCTGCTATATAATGCAAATAAATAAATAAAAAACCCTAAGACGACAACTTCAAGCCACAGACTATTGTACTCAGCCATTCATTTAGATATCTGGTGGTAGAGACTGCATATTTAAAAATCACTTGATCACCATAAAATTCATTTTAAAAAAGTCATTACAACATGACACATGAATTCTCATTAAAGTTCTAAATATAAGCTAAATTAAATATTACATCATTTCTGTTTATGTTGTTAGTCTCAAAATCATGTCCGACCCATCGCGACCCCATGGATGTTCCTTCAGGCCTTTCTGTCCTCTACCATCTCCCAGAGTCCATTTAAGCTCACACCGACTGCTTCAGTGACTCCATCCAGCCACTGGATTCTCTGTCGTCCCATTCTTCTTTTGCCCTCAATTGTTCCCAGCATTAGGCTCTTCTCCAGTGAATCCTTCCTTCTCATTAGGTGGCCAAAGTATTTGTGTTTCATCTTTTATGTTTATGCATACACACAAATTGTTGACGGTATTCATATACAGAGGTTGCTCAGTAATCAGTATGTTCAAAAATCAACACAAAATTGTGTGTTCAGCAGAGAGCACTTAGGACCTCTAAAACAGATTGCCCACTTGACAAGTTCTCAGGATAAGCACTTCCTGAAACCTATGAGGTTCCTAGTTTATAAACCTATCATGGAATAGGCACCCACCTAAAATTAAAAATTGAAAGCAGAAACTCCGAAAATAAGATGACACTCAAGCACAGAATTAGATGTGTTATTGTCAATAGATGCTCTGTATAGAAGTTATGTGGCTGATTGGAATGTAGACACTTTATGATTCTGGCCTTGAACTATTGCTACAATCACTGCAAGTATTGCAGCTATCTGAAAACAAAAACAAATGGACAGTCCCTAGCTTGTGGCAAGCATCTACATGTTTCAGCATCCAGGCATCCTTTAGTAATCGTGGAAAAACACAGTCTGTCTACCAATGTGTGATGAAATCTGGATATTGTAAGCAGCTTACCATTGCGTGAAGTGAAAGTCAGTGTGTGCAGGTTTTTAAAGTAACAATATAGCATCTGAATAATTGCGTGATTTGGGTTGCAAAGATATGACAACAAACAAAAACAAAAAAAATACAGCTCACAAGCTTTTATGGGACAGAAAAGGAGCAGGCTACTCACAGATACTATTTGTACTTTTTCTCCCTAAAAGACAATAATTAGAAAATATCTGATCATCAAAACAGCTGATTGAAATAAATTTTGGGAAGTGCTACGTAAAATTTGAGGTATTTGTTGCTCTGTGCCATCTTAGTGCCTTTCAAATGTATTGGCATTAGGGCATCTAAATTAGCCATATCCTGACAAATCCAGAAACTTCAGTCATATTTATCTAAAAGATACCAACTAATCTAGAGCCCAGTCCAGATAACTAAGCAATAGAACATTAATCTACATGGTAGAACTTCATCCATCTGATGTCCTTCGTTGCATTATATCCTGAAATATTTACCGTCAAAGTAAATGCAAGGTTTGTTTGCAAAACTAATATTTTTCTAGACCTTGCTTTTGGATAGCTTCTATCCACGTGTTTACACAACAGCACAAATGCAACATATGTATTTCAGAGGAGAAGATAACTTATGGGTCTCTGGATTTTGTTGAATAACTCTCAGAAGCCACCATCCACCTGGTCAATAGTGCAGCAGCACAAAAATGATCACACTTTTTATGCTTCGTCTTTAAAATGAGTGTGGATCCATATTAGTGTAACTGGAGGCAACTTTTATAATGTTTTTCTCATCACTGCCATTGAAGAAGTGGCCAAGTGTGCCGGGAGATCACAGAATAGGCAAAGCCAAATATTTGCTTTTTTAGATTGTAGGGCTTTTAAAAGACAAATGCTGTGTTGAGGTAGGTTTGCCTTTTAAAATGGGAAGGGAGGGAATAGGAAGGAGGCTACATTGTTTTAAGTATAAAATGGAAGGTGCTTCTGAAAAATCTGCAAACTCCCACAAAAATATGTTTGGCTCTGTTTATTCTACTAATGCCACTGGGGCCCCCAAACTATTAGCTCTGGTTTATCCAGCTCTGCTCTATAGGATGCTCCAGGGACCCTAAATCTTGCCAATACTCATAATGAGGATGTTGTGCTTGGTATATCTTCTTATCACAACCAGTGATATACAATCTGCGAAGGACACCTGTTTCATTCTGAGCCAAAAAAACAATTGTAATATTCAACATTTCAAGAGTTAGCATGATTAAGCAATATTACCTGGATCTGCACCAAAGCAATTTGGAGGCATTTAGTCAGTGACTATAAAGAACACCCATTTACAAAAGATCAATCTTGCTGGGAAGTGTAATTATACAGTCCTGTAGCTGATGAAGATTTGTAAAACCATTGTGCTATTTCTTTTAAAAGTAAGCAATATCATGCAAAGCATAGAAAAAGTGAAGAAATCAGCAGAAGATTAGCAAAAGGATATTAAAATCAATTTAAACTTAAACTTAACTTAATTCACGATATCTCTGCCTGCCTTTCTATTTTCACAAGCATTTCCTTGTTTCCATATGTCAAAATACAGATATCACACATTGCCTTTTGGTTTTAAAATTCTCTTACCACAGGGGTGTCAAACTCACAGCATCATCACGTGATGTATCGGGACTTTTCCCCCCCTTTGCTAAACGGGGGGGGGATTGGGGGTGGGCATGGCCAGCACGTGACTTATCCAGCCCAAGGGCCATGAGTTTGACACCCCTGTCTTACCTCTTGGAAAATAAATTCCAGCCAGCCATAATTGCCTTGGTCTTCTTACTTCTCTCAACCCATTTACTCTTTCTTAATATATATTTGCTTTGCAAATCAGATCTCTTTCATTCTCTTTATAAGTTATATAGGATTTTTGAGTTCAGTTTGCATTCATTCTTCACTTATTCATTCTTAATTCGTTCTTTTCTTATCTGTCCCTATTGCAATCAACATACCTTTATGGGTTTTTTTTGATATACCCCAACTCTCAGTTCCATGTAACAAAGTAGGCAAAAGTCTGTTGTTATACACAACTACTTCTTCTTCCTTCAATCAACATTCATTTCTGGTAGATCACATAATGTCAATTACTTTTGTACCAGCATATCTAAAATTTCTCTGTCCTTTTCCTCCTCTTTAATAAACATGATATTAATATTTATCTGCTTGTTTAAATTTTTTGCCATTTATGTATAATTTCCATTTTCCCAACAGGCACAATTGTCTTCATCTTCAATTATATTAGTATTCATGTCTATACTCCTTGTTTCATAATAAAATCTATTTTCAATAGAAGAGAATATCTATAGCTCAGGGTTCAACTGTGTTTTTGCACTGATGATGGGTAATGAAATGTCTGTAAGCAAACAACCAAGATCAGAAAACACCAAGTACTCCACAAAATCTACATTCACTGCAAATCTGATTACCAACAAAAGGGCAAAATCTCTTTACTATCTTTATTACAGACCCAAGTTCTTATAATTTTACACAGCACATTTCAAATGCTTGACACATACTCATCACTCTAAATAAGGGGTGAAACACATGTAAGCCTAATTTCACTGCTTGGTTTCAAAAGGGATAAAATTAAGGGATAATTTCAGACTTCTTTACTGATGTTGGAATTCAAACAGATCCTGGAAAAACTTCTGTTTGACTAATAATTTTTGATAACTTTATGTCCTGGATGGGTTAACTTGAAATTCTTTTTTTATCTTTTAATGTTTTTTTGCACGCAGCTCAAACTTCAATTATTTCTCATATCACCTTAAGCCAAGCATTATATTTGAACCATGGAACAAATGTCATACTGTGAGAAATAAGGTTACCTATTTCTAGGTCACTCTCTATACATTTTCACAGATTTATAGTTAACCAGATAATGTGGTGACATTATCAGTAAGGAAGACAAGTTTTAGGTTGCTACAGTAATGGCTGTATACTGAATCACACTATCACAGCCTTGTAGGCTGTGAACTTTGCTATGCTATTCTCTGCCCTCACATATCCAGTTTGAGACTTGATAAAGATGGGCAGGTAGAACTTCTTTCAGGAATGTCCCTCATTTGCTTTCTTTTCTCATTTAATTCTCATGATCATTTAAAGTATAGCATTAGCAAAGATGGAAAAGCACCCACAATCTCTGCTGCCTACCAGACACATTTCTCAGCCCATTGCTTTTAAGGTCGTGTTTTTCTAACTTGGCAATTTTAAGATATGTGGACTTCAAATCCCAGAATTCTCCAACCATCAAGTTAAAGATGCCAAATTGGAAAAACGCAGCTTTAAAGTTTAAAGGTTTACTTTCTCCTCATTTTCCTTTTCCACTTCTCATCTCAAGGTGGAATGTTAACAACTATCCATTTCAGTGGGATTCTTCTTTCCAAGTTAGAAGCAAGCTTTGAAAAGTCTTCCCCCACCTTCCAAAGATAATCTCACTCCCTACTGTCTTTGTTCAAGTCTGATTTACAAGGCATGAAAAATTGTAAATGATGACGTTGACCTGTGTCCTTCAGCTGAAATACTTCACTCAGTAATGCTGATGAGACCACAAGAGAAGTCACACAACTGCGCAAATTACTGTGGCTTTGAGATAAAATGTAACTGATTTTTAACAACAATGGTTCATTGCCTTCACTGATTAACAGTGAAGGACATTATTATTCTCTTATAAATAGACCATTCAAAGAAAAGGCAGCTTTGCTATGAGTTATTAGCAATATTACTATTAATCTGGTCAGCATACTAGAGTGTTTGTGTCAAAATCGCTAGAATTTTTTTACTTTAGCTAATGTGTTTTCATCCCTGATTTCTTTTTTTTTTCCTTTTTGCTTCTGGTTTGCTTAATTTTCATCTTGAAAATTAATTAAAAGTTTCAAATTTATTGATTTTCTTCTAGCTCACCTTTCCCAAGCATAGTGTCCTATGGATGGTGGGAGTGTGTTTCATTTGTACCCTTTGCCATATTCCCTGCAATCATCAGCTTCTAAAACATTGCTTTTAAAAATATTGCATATCCTTGAATGGAGGG